TGATCGAGCCATGGAGGCTGCAATCAGGAGTATGGGCACCATAGCGGAAGGCTGGAGCACCACAAAACGGTACAAGTTTTGAGTGTTGCTCTCACTGGGCTGTTTTATGCAAGTATTGAAAGGCTGCTCTGCAGTTAACCCTCATGTGGATAGTTCACCCTTGTAGTTAGTCTTAAACCATTTCTATCAAAAGCTCTGCTCTGTAAATCAAGGTCCTCTTCTCAGAAAAGCTCAGGCAACTGCCTGACAAATATTTTAAGAAAATCTAGAAGGCCCTGTCTAATGTCAGATGCAGAAATCAACAGCTCAGCCCTTGTCCGTGTTACAATTGAATCCTGAGCGTAGCTATGGCCAGGTCTTGCCTACAGGTGTGCTACATTGCACAGGGTGGGGAGTTTCTCACATGCCTGAACTACCACCTAACAGATTATTTCTGTCTGTTGTAGGAGACCAAAATGTTGAGTACAAGAAGATGGTCTGGCATAAGGACTGTTTCACTTGCAGCCAGTGCAAGCAAGTGATTGGATCTGGGAGCTTCTTCCCCAAGGGTGAAGACTTCTACTGTGTCTCCTGCCACGAGCATAAGTTTGCCAAGACCTGTGCTAAGTGCAAGAATGTAAGTCCTTCTGCTTTGCAGTTCAGCTGTCAGCACTAGCCCTTGCGTGTCTTTTGGAAGCTGGGAGAGTAAACCAGTAGACAGATCATGCTGGAGCTGTACCAATGCTTATGTTCTTTCCCTGAGACATTGGTGCAAGCATCTGGTGGTGTGAGAGAGCTGATGGTTTGCACATTGCAGTACCTGAGAGGGGCTGTAGGGGTATCTGAGAGCAACTCTGCTGGAACCAAGTGGGTGCTGGCCTTCCACTTGCTTTGGGGATGGTTTAAGCTCTCTAGTAGGTATTGTGTATTAAAGCAGTAAAACAATGTTTTATAAAATAGCTGTTTTACACCTTTTACAACGGATTAGTGTAGCATTGCAGTCACTGCTGGTAAAATAAACTATTATGAAAGCTCCAGGCATGCAGGATGTCAGTCTAGAGGAACTCAAATGCTGCACCATTGCAATTAAAACTTTGAAGAGATCTTCCCCCCTGACAAAGACCTCCTGCCCTGCACCCCATGCCTGCATCACCTCTCCTGCTCCCTACCAATCCTGAAACACACCTCTGCTCTTCACCTCCTAGCCCATCACTTCTGGAGGCCTCACTTACCAGGAACAGCCTTGGCATTCGGAGTGTTTCATTTGTTCCAACTGCAAGAACCAACTGGGCGGGAAGCGCTTCACAGCTGTAGAGGATCAGTTTTACTGTGTTGAATGCTACAAGGAGTGTGTTGCCAAGAAGTGTGCTGGCTGCAAGAATCCGATTACAGGTATGTTGGATTAAATGCAGCTTGAGGGCAACGGGTGCTTAAGGTCAGAACAGCGATCCCCAAAGACATGCAGCTCAGAGGCCACTAACACCAGAAACAGGTCTAGTATCCCAAACCCACTCCCAGCAATTTACATGTGATCTAACTATGAGCCATGTGCTCTTGCTGGATGGAGTCTGAGTGAGTAACTGAGCGCTTCGCCCTTTGCATGCCTCAAATTTACCTCCTTCAAAACTTTCCCACCTAGAACTGTTCCCACCTCTATCTTACTCTGGGAACCTTAAGTCTAAAAAGAGCAGTGTTTTATTGCCCCAAAGTGGGATCTGTGACATGTTAAATACATCAGGAGCGAAGCAGTTACTGCATCACAAAGCTCAGCCCTGAAATGTGGGCACTATCCTGCCGGATCCACAAGACTTGCATTTTAGAGCGTGGATCTGAGCCCGTAACAACGAGGTAGGGTGTTCAGCCCAACCTGTCCTTGCTCTACATCTTGATCTTTCCTTCAGCTTAACTGTTTCCTGGAGGAGGGGTCCAAGGGAAAAAGCTCATTGCAGAGACAAGCCACACCTGCCTTGTGCAAAAAGCTGCCTGTTTGTCTAAGAGCAGCACTACTGAGCAGCAAACACTGTGCTTGAGTTGCAATTTTGGTTAGTAGTTTAGGCATACAAATACACTCTGCAAGGCTACAGAAGCACAGGAGGCAGTAAGGGGAGTTGCTGTTTGGTGGGCTAACCCAGCCACGGGAAAAGCTACTATCGCCGTCCTATAATTGTTTTCTCTCCTAGCAGGATTTGGAAGAGGAACCAGTGTGGTTAACTACGAAGATGAATCCTGGCACGATTATTGTTTCAAATGCACAAAGTGTGCCCGTGGTCTGGCCAACAAGCGCTTTGTTTGCCATAATGGAAAAATTTACTGTGCTGAATGTCCGAAACGACTGTAAGGAGCAGACAGCGAGTGCTGTAAAATGGATTGTAGAGCCCTGCTTTCCAAAACAGGCCTGGGTAAATGAGCAGGTTTTGCATGTTAAGAATTTTAACTTTTTCCATTTTAGTATAAAACCTAAAGTAGCCTCAAGAGACTGGGTTTGACTTTTGAAGCTCCTGCAGTACAAAAGCATGTAGTATTGCAAAAATCTAACTTTGCTTCCAAGTAACTCTTAGGGTAAAGGCTTGAAATGCCATTAGATTTGGCATTAGACATCCACATACTACATAATCTGTGTGTGGCTTAAACTAAAACAAAGCTAGTTTTAAGCTTGTCTGGTATACATTTACGCTTGGCACTTAAATGAAGTAAGGTTTGACAAGGCATGTGTGCACCTCAGAAGCAGAGATGCAAAGATTGTATCTAGGATCAGAGAGATCCATTACTATGCTTTTACAAGTACAGGTACGTTACATACATCACACCATTAATAGCAGCTCAGTAATAAAGACCTTAGCTTACCCTACCACACCAAATAGTAGCACATGTATGGAATGGCTTCATCTTACATATAGCAACGTTTTGGCAGTAGTTAAGTTTCCATAAACTTGTTTTAGTCTTGATTTCTGCATGGTTTGCCCAAAAAGTTTTGCTCATCAGCTTTTTTTACATTGTTGATTAATAATTGTGTATAGATAGCCTCATTTAAACCATTAACAAGAAGTAAACCTTTCAACTACAACAAAATGCACATGCAGTTAGAAGTGCCTTAAAAAAAAATAGACAACGATAGCTCTCCTGTCGTGTCAGTGTACGTTTTATGACTTAATAAAAATGAGAGTAGTGCCTGCTCGGAGTCCTACAGTCTGGAAAATTGTTTTTTCATTTTGCTATCTTGCACAATTGACACCTCTTATGGCTGCGCTACTGAGATCAAGTCTGATATATTGATACTGGCAAAGTAAAGAACCAGCTGTTCTGCCATAGTGCCCTTAAATATCTGAGGACCAAAGCAACAATTTCCATAAACTATTTTTTTTTTTTTTAATATATAACTGACACTGGACCATCTGCCAAGAACAGCCTGTGTGAAAAAGCCCTTTGGAGAACAGATGTACAGCCACTGTCCATACACCGATCTACCACCCTTCACCATCCTTAACACTGGTTTAAGGTTGCTTTGTTTTGTTTTGGTTTTTTTTTCTCGTAGCAGTGGCTGACACCATACAGAAATATTTATTAACTGGACACTGCTCTAGTCATTCCCTTTTGTTCACAAGCACCTACCAGAAACAAAGAGCCTTCACAAGAAAAACAAAAGGCAGCATCTTGCTACGTTCTTGACAGTCACTGCTCCGCCGTGGCCTTGGAGCACTGCTGCACCCACCAGTAGAACATAAAGATGCTGGTGCCACGAGTAAAAGGCAAAGGCTTACAATGAAAAGCAAGTTAAAGAATTCAACAGTTATGAACACGCCATGGGCATGTACACACAGAGCAAGATCTGAAGGGGTTAGTACAGATACCTTCCCAGCCACACCAATGCAACTGCCACAGAGGCCACTAGCTTAAGGAATAGGCAGTGTGGAGCAGTTAGAGCAGGACGGGAGCACATCTCAAGGCAGGTCAGCAGGGCAAGGGGTTGGAGGCTCCTAGTAAGGTAATGTTTAGCATTACAGAAATAAAGCATTGTTCAACTGCAAAGTTTATTTAACAGTATGCACGTATTTACATAGAGCTGTAACAGATCATTCAACAAATAATATCAGCACAGAAAAAAATATCGGCATCTTTTTTGTTAGAATGATTGTCTCTGCCAGAATGAAACAGCTATCGTACAAAAATACATTTTCCTTTTACCTAAGGCACTGCTCTAAAGTCTAAAACAGTTCTACCGTATTCTGAATAGCAAACAGCGAGAGTAAGAAGGCTGAGGGTTTCCTATTGTAACTGCCATGTCGAGGAAAGAACACATTTAGTTCCAGGAAAACTATTTGTATTTAACCACTGCAAACACAGCTGCCATTTGGGTGATTCATCTGAACTGAGGTTATCAGCCAATGATTTATAGCAGGATTTGAGACAGCTGTTCTGTAATCTCTTAGCCAGTATATCTGTTACAGGAGACATAAGAACAAGACTGCATTATTACTTTTAGTAGCAGTTTTCAGAAGATTCTTAGTTAATCTCTTCATGCTGTAAAAAGCAGGCAAGTTTAGGTTAAATAGATTACTTAATGCAGGCTTTAGGGGAAGGGAAATATATATGCAGCTTGCAGCCACCGTTATAAAGCTAGAACAGGAACACTCAGAATAATTAACATGAACAAAACACGACTTCCGTGGTCTAATACTGTTATGTACACAATAAAATAATACTTCCATGAGTGGAGATAAATAAGTAATTCAAAAGGAAAATATTTTAAAAAGCATGACATGTTAAACTGCACTACAACAGACACATCTAGGTACTCAACATTTTTGTAACACATTAGTGCATATGCTGTAAAATGTTTTGACGTTTGCCAATAGATTAAAACATATTAGCGATGGTACAATACTGCATTTTGAAGTTGCCAATATTTTCACATGAAAATAAGGAATTTTTCTTCTCCATTCAAAATTGAAGATAGTAAATTTTGCATTTTTAAATAGCACATGAACCAACAAGTAACAGTGTTTTTCTAGAACATTACAAAGGGCGTTCAGCTTTCACACACTCTGAATGAGTCTTTTATTTCATCAAGGGCCATTTTAGGGAAATGCAAAATCTGGCCAGCAGCTAACTGGGGAGCTTCCAGTGGCACACTGCTGTACATGATATTGATATGAAAATAAAAGAAAGACTCAGGTTACTGTAAAGTCTGTAAAAGGTAAACACGTGATATTTGAGCAAGGAAATTTTGTCTAACAATTAGCTAAACGAATGGAAAAGGAACATCAGCACAACAGTTTCCCTGAAATGTTTCAAGGTGCAAATCAGAAGTCTGTCATCCCTCCCCTGGTGTTTTTATTTTTTTGCAAACTTGAAGACGGATAAAGGTAAACAAGCAGCTTTTCAAAACAAGGCCTTCCGTACTTGGTAAAACACTGGATTACTGAAGTGCAATCAGATTATTTCCAGGTCTCTAGTGTTCACAGTTCTGTCCAAAGAGCAAAGAGAAGAAAACATTTAACCGTCATAACCGTGTGTATGCCACAAACGTCCATCATCACTGTCAGAGTCTACATCCAGGGAGTGAGCACAGAACAACCTGGTCACAGTCCAAAAGCAGCACAGTAGCTTTTTTTTTAATATATATATGAGTATTAGTTTTTCAAAGTTACGTACGTAATTCTTACACCATATCATGTCTAACCATTTTCAAGTTCAACATTCAAAGGCAACACTTTCTTCACTAAGAAGTTAATGATTTTGATCAGAACAAAATGTGATCAGCAGTATCCCATTAAATCCATCTATTCCCACAGCCCAGCTAGTCGTGGCCTCAAGGAAAGTCTCAATAAGCTATGTCCATGAGACTGAAATTCACAAGACGCAGAGTGACAGAGGAGACTCAGGAAACAGTTCAGTCTAGAAAAGTGCTACACTTTAATCAAAAATAGTGCTACACATCACTTAAAGAAAATGTGGATAGCAAGTCTTGTTTTTTCCACTACCATTCAATTCAACTGTTCACGCAATCATTTATCTCACGGAAAGATATCTCCTGCTGTGAGTATGTCCATTTGGGGTTTAGCTCCAACACCAGAGAAGTTTAGTCTTACGTAAACTAGCTTACCGAAGCCTCTCTGACACACTGTGCTGGACTGCATCAGGGTTTGGCTTCTCAAGTACACGTGGCTTCAGACACAAGCCTGCTTCTTTCAGAAAATTCAGAATATTGTGTGTGCAGCTTTATTACTCCTCCCAAAATGTAACACAACCATCTGTGGAAGTTAAGGTTGATGTTACACCCCTCAGTGCAGTGAAAGCCTATTCTATAGGAAGTAGAGAGGACAGCTAAAACCTTGCCAGAGCCTGAAGAGACCTTGTAAGACCATGCAGGTCAGCATCAAAAAGTGACAGAACATGCCCAGGAGTGGGAAGGTCTTGTCTGTACAGTTACATCAGACACCTTTTAAACTGTTAGTATCTTCAAAAGTAACACATGCCATTTAAGACATCTTAGAAGAAGCCTAAATAACAACAGACAGGCTTCAGTGCTGGTAGGAGATACAGGAGCTTCACAGGGGCCCTGCTGTGTCTTTGGAAGAGCCTTAATGTTGGGTTTTAGCTGCTGTCTAGAGCAAGTCCCTAAAAAGGCATCAGTTGGTGACTCCTTTTGACAGAACGCAAGCTACAAGCACTAAAAAAAAGAGCTTTCCCTCCGGTCTACACATTGGAAAAAGTGCCTTGAAAATAAGAAGCTGAAGTTAAGGCAAGGAGAGTAAAAAGCAAGGAAGTTAATGATCTAGGCAGAGGAAGAGACAGGTAGGGAAATCAGCTTGGATTACCTGATGAAGCATCTATAGGTTTGGTCAATGAATTCACTGCACCATCTTCCTCAAAAGCCAATTTGGGACTAGAAGGTAGTGTAGCAGCATCATTCAAGTTTTGATTACAGTTACCAGCAGAGATGCTGTCCGAGCTCAGTTTGGTTGACTTGGAATGTACTCCAACGTCAATGAACTCCTCAAAAGTCCACGAACCAGATTTTCCATTAAGATTCTGAATAAGTCCAATTGTGTGATCAGCTTCATTAACACCCAACTCCACTGAGTCACCGATAACCATTTCTTTTGCAGGGTGGCTAGAAAAAAAGGATGATACTTGTTTACATTTTCTGGATGTTTAACCTTTAGATTCGTTACAGGAGAGCCAATTAGCAGTCTGCGCACTTTGCAAAGCACTGAATATCCTGAAGGGCATTCCCAGACAAGCTGCTCCAGCTGCCATGTGGGATCTCCCCTCCAAGAGCCCACAGGGAAGAATGACTTGCCAACATATACCCACTTTTTACTACACTAATAGCTCTCAGGTAAGATCTGGCTCCAGAAATTTGACAGAAGAAAGCAACAAGTTTAAAGCCTGCACCATTAAAACCCTATTTTAGTAGTGTGCATTCTTCCTTTTTTCTCCAGTTAAGACTTTCGAAACACAAAACTGAGCCTCAGAAGACTAGCAATATTTAAAACAGATCAAAATCTAAACCGAAATCAGAGTGATCAATTTCCATTCATTCTTAAGAAAATAATGAAAATGTCTTTATATTCCATCACTGGAGGAATGAGATGAATTTATCATCACTTTGAAAAAAAGAGTTCACAATGTCATTTCTAAATCATTAGCATTTAGATGAGCAAATGGAACAAGCATCAGAGGACAGATTTTCCAGTAGTAGATGGAAATGCTTTATGTTCAAAAAGATAAAATTTGAAATACTAAAAAACCAAAATCCCATTAAGAGAAGCTTTTGTGTTGCATCTGGTGTTTCAGTGCAACTTAAACTGTTCTAGAGCTTTCTGCAGGTTATTCTTCCTTCTCAGATTCATCTGCTTCTCTCTCGTTTTAATGTTTTGTTAATGAAAAGAACGCTAGCTGTTTCAAGGGAAAAGATTTCAAGCCAATGCCATTCTTTACAAGTGACACGGCCACGTTGCTGGCTATGTGTCTCACTTCTTAGCAAAGTGCCTCTGCGTGAAGCAGTAAACTGACAGCATGCACACGCCACACGCCTGGAGCAAGGAGAGAAATACCACAAAGCTAGCGGGGTGCAAGATTTGATGCAGTGCTATATCCAGCACTACATTTAATTTAAACATAGAGAGGGACTTCTCGTGTGACAGATAGCTGCTCTGACAGCCACCTACAGACTCACCTGGAATCCTTTAATTCAGTAACAAGTAGAGACCCCTCATCACCTCTCAAATCACTTCCATTCATAAATACTTCATTGGCCTTCAACTCTGAATCTTGTTCCTCAGATTCCATAGAGATCAAGCTACGTGCAGTCTCTAAACAACCCTCTGCCACCCCCTTGACTTCCTGGGGTAAGTCAACACCATTCAGCTTTCCTGAATGTGGGGCGAAAAAAGAGAAAGAAAAAAGAAAAAAAGCTTCAGTAACAGAACTGCTACTCTAAATGAATAAAATACAAGTCTCAGAATGACCTTTCCTAGCCAAAACTCGAGGCACTTGGCTTTGATAGAATCATTTCTCTATAGACAAGCTGCTTGTAACAACATGAAATTTCCATCTTTAAAAATACACTTGTAAAATGAAAACATGCATTTCACTTTCAAATAATTTTTGCATGTCATCATTTTGACTGTCTCCTGGCGTACAGAACAGGTGACAATCAACTCTGTTTAAGCAGAGACCCTCCCTGGCATTTCTGGGACTTACATCTCAGACCATCACAGTGCTATTAAGTGACTGACATTTTTAACAAGACACAGACTGGCACTTAAACCTGACCCATCAAGTTTCCTTACCTGGTTGATCAGTCTTCTCAAGACCCAACTCTTCCTCTTCTTCAATATCATCTCCCTCAATAACTTCAGAGGCAGACTTCCCTTCACTCTGCAACTGAATTGCCAGTGTTATTCAGAATAACTGACTTCCATCTAGTGTTTCAGAAATAGCCCAATCCCAGCTCCCATGCAGGACTATTCTGTGCCCAGTTGTAAGGCCGTGCTAGTCCAGGGGCTAACAGACAATCAGATCATCCAGCAACAACATGCTCTGATGAGCCAGAGCACGTAAAGGCATGCGTGGGACCCGCTTCCATCTCCTACGTGTGAACTGTTCCCAAGTTCCCTCCCGCCTCATTTCTCCAAGGCGTGAGCTAAATATTTATGGGTGTTTATCACATGAAGACTTGGGTTTTTGAATGTTCAGAGAAGAACGACTACTCCTCAATATAATATGCAATAATTTACCACAAACTTTAGGTCACTACACTAACAAAAATACATCCAATTTACTGTAGCCATCCAAGAGGCATCCAAGACTTGCTTTAAGCAAACAGATGAATCCAGGATTTTAAGTTTTCTGAGGAAAAACAGCCCCAGCAGAATGCATACAGTATTAAAAAAAAAAAATAACAACCCATTAATAACCAGTGGTTTTTTTAACCGATCTGCAAGCGGTAACACCAGATCACATTGTTTCTATATGCTTTGACCAAAAATGCATCGAAGACTGTTGGTCAGAACAAGCAAAGCAGAAGAATGTGTGCATCGGAAAACTACTGAAAATTATTCTGGTGCACCAGAACTTTGCACTTCACATGGAAGCCAGTTTGTGTAAGAACAGAGGAAGTCAGGATACAAGGCAAAGCCTTCTCTGGGAAGGGCCTATTCTGTCATTATACAGATCCAAACAAAAAAGTACCTTGGAGTCATTTTGATCCGATTTTCGTGTTCTTTTCATTATTTCTTCGATTCTCTGTTAAAACAGGGAAAATATTTGCAATGACATACAGAGCCTCATATTCCAGCATTCTGATTTAAATTTTCATTCATCTTAATGTATTTTCCTGTTTCATTACTTTGATACTTTTTTTCACTGTTTTTAAAGCTCACAAGCCAGAGTTGGTTTTTTTTAATGAACAAGCTACTCCTATTTAAGTGCATCCCAGACCTTCAGTTTAACACCTCAGCCACTATTTCAGGCTGCGAAACCTCTCTGCTTTCAAGTCAGCATACCTTTTTTCTTTCAAGCCTTTCCTGCATATTTTGCTGCATAATTCTCTCTCTTTCCAGCCGCTGTCTTTCAGCCTCTTCTTGAGCTTTTGCTTCAGCTTCTTCTCTCTGAAAATAAAACAAAAAGAGAGCGCTCAGAGTACAACTCATTCTGAAGAGTCAAAAGCAGAGCTGTCACAGAGATTCTGGTTAAACACAGTCAGGAATATCAGACAATCACTATTTAATATTACCATACATTGCAGCTAAATGCCAATTACCCAGCTACTGACATGAAATACACATCACTATGACATTCAGAAACTGATCTGAAAAGTGATATGCATGGCTATATTGTTATTATGCAAATGTTCTGGATGTTGTTGAGCTACTCAGGGTTCAAACTGTACTTCAGGATGAAGAGTTGTCTAAGAAGGATAATTTATAAAGTAACACGACAGCAATTAAATTCTAAATGTGGCAAGGTTAACTTAAAGATCTTGGCGGTCAGGTATTACTACCAAGACACTTGGTGCTGAGCATCTTCTGTTCCTTCTACACTGGAAAAGTAATTGTCATAAACTTAAACAAGCTTTTAAAGAACTGTTCAGACATATGTCAATACTATCCATAAGATACAGCTCTTTAAGCACAAAGAATTTCACTGTAAAATTGCTTTGATTTTCAAAATTCATCTCATTTAAAGAAAGTCCACTTTCTGCAAAACAGCTTCCTTCAATTAGAAGGATGCCTTTCTCAAAGTGCACAGATATTAGCTGTGGAAGACAATTTAGCAGACTTGGAAACACTATCAATCTTTCTTTTAAAGGAATTGGAGCAAGCCAGGTGACTTTCCAGACAGACCACCTCCTTATAATCCACAGCAGTAAGCTGGTAAAGTGGGCTCAGTACAAATATTTTATGTACGCAAAATTGCATCCCAGATGGTTAAAAACCAAAATATCTGCATCTGCCCCACACTTGAATTTATGAAATGTTGGGAAAAAAAAAAATCACATAGACTAAGGCAAGGGAATGACTTCAAGTCATTCTCAAATCCATCTCGGACAGGATAAGCTCTGCTTTACATCATTCCTGACAGAGATTTGTCAAAACTGTTCTGTGAAAGAAAACACGTCAGCAGCTTGTATGAGGAACACAGTTGGAGTCTACAGATAAGCAGACCTGGTGCTGAAGCTCTGCAAGTTTTTCCTGCTCTTCCTGTTCTCGGCGGATCCTCTCCTCTTCAGCTTGTCTTTGCTGTTCTTCAAAAGCCAGTCTCTTTTCTTCCTCCTGTTTGCGGAGCTCCTCCTCCCGTTCTGCTTTTTCCTCAATTGCTCTCCTGGCCATTTCTTCTTCTCTGATTCTAGAGTTTCCAAGATAAGAGATTACTGACTGGATATTTCTTTAAAAATGTGTGTGTGCACTTGAGAAAGACTAGGAAAGCAAGAAAGTTCTAAGTTACCCGATCACAGAATAACTGTGCAAAGATACCTTCTGGTGTGGATTTACAAATGCACCCATCCAGACCCATCAGAGGAACTATGCATTACATATATACGAAGGTATGTATTAACAACACACACAGCAATCTGTCCCGTCTCAAATGGTGCCAGTGCCTGTCTCTGCTTCAGGAACTGCATTAAGATTTACAGGAACTTGAACTGAAACTCAGGCAACATGTCCAGATGGAGTGTCCACCACAACCACACCCCACCACTGAAAGCATCCCTTCCTTCTCCTGAACTGGTACCTTTCCTCTTCCTGTCTCTGAATTCTTTCTTGGTCTTCACGCTCTCTTTGCTCCCGTGCTAGACGTCGTTTCTCTGCCAAGATTTTAGCAGCTTCTTCAGCTGTGGTGGTCCCTGCTACCGTTTTGCTACCTGATTCTGCAAAGGTTAAAAGACATTGCTGTTAAAAAGCCTCAGTAACTTAATTTTAAGATAGACATTATCACTGTGAGATGAGATTTTTCTTTTGGCCAGCTGACCCATTATTGATCAGTGCCATCACTCAGCAAGTACACCCTGTATCTAAAGGCCCACAGAGCCAAAGGGGAGCCCTGGAGAGATGCAAAGCCACAATTTCTCACTGACACTGAAATAACTCATTTCAGCTATACTGATCAAGCCATACTCCAGAAAATATAGTTATGCTGCAATTACCACAGTACTTAAAAACATATTTCTGAAAAGACACATTTATTCTATAACACTTATTAATACTTAAAAGAAAACAAAAGAAACCCCACTGATGTAGGATATACACTTAACTTCCTTCTAATAAAATCAAATACACATGACCCTGAAGAGGAAATATTAATTTTTCTATTTCTCTTGTTTCATAACATTAATATTCATGTCTTTAAATTTATAGAGTACCTTATGGTGCTAATAATCACCACTTTATCGGTCCCTGAAGGCCCATGCTACTGACCTCAGCAGTACTGTACTTCTATGAATTTTAGCAACAAATCAATTTCCAGATCAAAACAAATACAACCACCAGGTTAGTAGATATTTGTACAGTCCCGCAGTTTGTTTCTTCATGTCCTGCCTGGTGTTATGGTCAGAGACATTATAAGTTATAT